TGTTCTTTTGTATTTCTGCTTGTGTTTATTCGAGCTTTTTCTCTCTTTTTCTTGGTCATTCTTGCTATGGCGTCCATCAATCTTGTTAATTCTTTTAAAGAACCAGCTTTTTGTTTTGTTGATGTTTTCTATGAGATTTTTGTCTTTTATGTCCCATATTTGGACTCTTACTTTGGTGATCTGGATTCTTCTGCTGAATTAGGATTTTGGTGGTCTTGGTCTTGTCTTTCCAGCTCGCTTAGGTGATTGTTAGGCTGTTAACTTGTGATCTTTCAATTTTCTTGATGTGTGTTCGTAGAGATATAAATTCTCTTAAAATTGTTTTCATGGCATCCCAGAGGTTTTGGTAAGATATTTCTTCATTTTCATTTATTTCCATGAGTCTTTTAATTTCTGTTTTGATTTCAGTCTTGACTCAGTAGTTGTTCAGAATCATGCTGTTTAGTGTCCATATCTTTGTGGGCTTTGAGGAAGTTTTGTTGATGGTGATATTTATTTTTATTCCACTGTGATCTGAGAAGGTCCGTGGCAATGTTTCAACCTTATGGAATTTGTTTATTTTTAATTTATGGCCAAAGATATGATCGATCTGGGAGTACATTCTATGTGACAGTGATTTGAATGTATATTATATGGTTGTTGGGTGGAATATTCTGTAGGTATCTATTAATTCCAGTTGGTTGAGCATCAAGTTGAGGTTCTGGATCTTTTTCTTGATTTTTTGCCTCAATGATCTATCTAGGGCTGCTAGCGGGGCATTCTAGTCCCCAGCTATGATAGTGTTAGAGTCAATATCTTTTTTTTTGTTTGCTTAGTAGTTGTTTTATAAATGCTTATGCTCCAGTGTTGGGGTATATATGTTTACAATGGATATTTCTTGTTGATGAATTGAACCTTTTATCATTAGGTAGTGTTCTTTTGTATCTTTTAAATTTTTTGATAGCTTAAAGGTTGTTTTGTCTGATATTAAGATCATGACTCCTGCCTCTTTTGTGATCCATTTGCCTGAAAACTTGTTTTCTATTCTCTAGCTTTGAGACTGTGTGTGTTCCTTGTGGTGAGATGAGTTTCCTGGATGCAGAAAATAATTGAGTCATGGTTTCTTATCCAGTTTGCCATTCTGTGTCTTTTCAGTGGTGCATTTAGTCCATTCACATTCAGGCTGATTATTGAAATGTGATTGTTTTTCCCTGTCATGAGGCTCTTATAGTTTTTTCTTTGTTTGCTTATTTTCTTTTGGCTTTGGGGTTAATATATGTGTGTTTTTTCAAGTTTGCTGTTGCAATTCATTCTCTGCTGATTCTTTGCTCTGTTCTCTTGGAAAGTGTGTTGTCATTCTTTTTTTTCTTTCTGTGCTTAATACCTTTTTAAGCATCTCCTGTAGAGCTGGTCTAGAAGCTGCATAATCTCTTAGGGATTGGATGTCTGAGAAGGATTTTAATTCTTCATCACTGATGAAGCTGAGCTTGGTTGGGTAAGAAACTCTCGGTTGAAATTGTTTATCTTTGAGAACATTGAATATTGGACTCCAGTCCCTTCTTGCTTGTAGTGTTTCTGCCGATAGGTCTGCTGCTATTCTTATTGGTTTCCCCTGATAGGTCATCTGATCTCTCTTGCTGCTTTTAGGATTTTTTCTTATGTGCCTACTTTGTGTAGGCAAATTACTATGTGTCTAGGGGTTGGTCTTCTCATTTGATGTCATGTAGGGGTTCTCTGCATATCTTGTCCTTGGCTGGCCAGATCTCTGGTGAGATGGGGACAAATTTTTGGATAGTCTCCTGGATACTTGCTCCAAGGTGTTCTCCATTTCCATTTCTTCTTCTGGGATACCAATCAGGCATAGGTTCAGCCTCTTGGTATAACTGCACATCTCTTGTAGGCTTTCTTCTTTCTTTCTGAGTTTTCTTTTTATGTTTTTTACAGATTTGGTTAATTTCATGTTTTGGTCTTCAAGTTCTTAGATTCTTTCTTCTGCTTGACTAATTCTGCTTTCCATGCTTGTCATCTTGTTATTTATTTCCTGGATGAAATTTTTTATAGTCAAAATCTCTGTTACAAGCTCTTTCAGTGTTGCATCTTGTCTTTCTTGAGTCTTATTCACTGTTTCCATCCATTCCCTAATTCCTGTCATATTCTAGGCCAGTCACTGGTGACTTCCATTGTTTGGTCACTGAGGTTTGATTTTTCAGGAGTTTTCTCTTTTTACACTTGAGGTTGCCTATAGTCTTCCACTGGTTTTTCCTCATTTGTGACAGATTCCTTTCTTTTCTCTTTAGTTCCATTATTCAGTGGTATTGGGAGAGGTTTTCATGTCTGATATTTGCTCAGCCTTCTATTCTTCCCTGATCTGGGCTCTGGATTTGTAATATTTTGAAGTGGGACTGTGGGTGGGAAGGTTTGCTGTCTTTTGTAGTTTTCAGAGTTGAATAAGGTAGAAGATGGGGAGTTTGGATTCAGAAACTACTTGCAAATCACAATGTTCACTGGTTGTGGTATGGGTTCACTGAGACCCACTCCCCACCACCACTCTATAAAGATGCAGTGGGTTTGTGTGTGTATCCCCTGAGTCCAAGATACAGCAACAGCAATGAGGAGAACAGAATAGAGTAGAATGACATAAGATGAACAAAATTTAAAAAAAAAACACAGAACAATGAAAGCAGATACCAAAGCAAAAAACAATTGAACACACACACACACACACACACACACACACACACACACACACCCAGCACAAAATGATTAGAGAAGAAAAAGAGAAAGAACAGAAAAAAAATAGGAATTCAGATTGCACCCTCATGCATTTATTCACACATACATTAAACTTAAAAAAGAGAATAACTAATTAGCAAAAACAAACTAACAGCAACAAGAACAAAATGAAAGATGAGCACTCAACCATTCACATACACACATAGAAAACAAAAATCAAAAGAAAGAGAAAAAGAAGGAAAAAAGATGGGGGGATACAGATTAAACCCTCACATATACATTCATGCACAAAGGAAAAAATATTTAAAAGTATGAAAAATGAACAAACAGGCAAAAATTTTTTTAAAAAAATTTTAAAAACCTGTCCTCTTGTGGCAGATTCTGTAACTGTTCCTCTCAGCTGCCCCTCTGCTCTCTCCTTCAGAGCTTCCACCTCTTTCACTCTCTCCCCAGTGTCTGGACCAGGGAAGGGGAAGGGGAAGGGGAAGTGGAAGTGGGTGGGGCTGCAGTCCTCCCTTCCCACCCTCCTATGGCAGGGACAGCCCCTTTGGTGGAGAGGTGTGGGATTATCTCTTCCCCAGGTACTGGGGGGGGGGGGGAATGTCCCAGCCAGTCTTATCCTGGTGTGGAGTTCTCCTATTGCAGCTGCTGTCCATGTTTCACCTGGGCTCGTCCCTCTCAGTCGTGCCCCAGCTGTGTGGGTTTGATGTTCAGAGGATTGCTTGGGGTGGGGGGGAGTGGGTCAGCTCCAGACTCACCACTGATTTCATTGGAATTCTTCCTCTTCCTTTTCTGGCCACACCCTTTATCCTGAGGCTGGATTGGGGTAGGGGGTGGGGCAGCCAAGACTTAGCACTGATCAGTTTCCTCTGATGTTTGTGCTTTCAGGATATTCCCTCTGGGTTACAATCAACCCCTGACTAGTTGGTCCACCCATCACAGAGATCGGGTCTGTTGCTCTGTGGTGAGAAAGTCAGAGCACTTTCCTGCCCCATTTTCAAGGTGGTGGCAGGGTGCTTTTTTCATCTTCTCCAGTGGGGCTCTGCCTCTGGGATCCCTCTGCAGGCCTTGCTTCCAGTGACCGGACAGGTGTTGCAGTGGTGAGGCAGAGCCTGGAGCCCAGCCCTTCTTCCCAGGAAGACTTTTTTCAGTTAAAAAAAAATGACGTTCAACTTCTGTGACCCAGGAAGCACTAGGGACCAAGCAGAGCAGCTGCAGCACTAGCTGCTTCACCAGGAGAGCACTGGCCACTTGCTCATGAGCCCTCACTTAGTCTCTCCCAGGAAGGGTTTTGTTGATTTTTAAAAAATGGTGCTCAGCTTCTGCCTCCCGGATAACCACTAGGGTCCAAGTCAAGCAGCTGTAGCACAAGTCACTTCACCAGTAGAGCCCTGGCCGCTTGTTCCCGACCCTTCATGGATTCAGCTACTCACGTCCACTCATTCACCAACACACACACAAACTTTTCCATACACTCACTCACTCATACTGGGACTCGCATAGTCTGACTGGCTCCTCTAGGTTGTTTATCTTAACAGCAATACTAGAGTGCAGAGTTCGAGACTTGGATTTGTAAATGTTTTTCAATGTATGGGATTTGGAAAAGTAGCAGATATCTTATTTTCTTTCTTTTTTTATATCAATATTTTTTATTTTGATATTGTGGAGTACAGTTAAGGGTTAGGTATACAAATATGCTTTGTTCAGGCACCCTTGTTGATAAGGGGTGTCTCCCCATCCCCAGATAGATATTGACTGCCATTAATCCCACTTCCCTTCCCCTCCCCCCCATAGTTTCCCCCACTGTCAGTCCTTTTCTTATAGTATTATGATGGATGTTCAAGGTCCGCTATATGAGTGAGAACATGTGATACTCAGATCTTTGTTTCTGTGAGAGGTCACTCAGTATTATTGACTCTAGTTCCATCCAGGTTGCTGCGAAGTTCATAATTTTGCTCTTTTTTTATGGTTACGTAGTATTCCATCGTGTATATGTACCACATTTTTTAAATCCAGTCCTCTTTTGATGGACAGTATGGTTGATTCCAGGTTCTTGCTATTGTGAACAATGCTGCGGACATCTTATTTTCAAAACCTGATGTTTTTCTCAGGACTGATGAGAACTGCCACAGAGGAAAAAGGGAAGCTTTTCCTGCTTTAATTGTTAGTATTCCTGAGATAGGAGCCACTGTTATAAGAAGGAAGTAAATAGGTTCTCTCAAAGGAAGATTGTTGCTGAATTATGCCTTCTGCCCTGGTCATTAGATGTAAATTTCATATTTTCCAACCTAATGCTTGGCAGCACCAAGATGTTTCAGTAAGTTCATCATAAATCCGACGTTCTCCATTTTCATGAAATAACCTTGTCTCACATTCAATTTCCTTCTCCTTCCTTTCTTGGGCTTCTATTCTTTGCTTTTCTTCAAGCCTTGCCTTGCTTCAATTGCCATATCAGTGTTTCTGATTTTTTTTTTTTTGAGTCGGGGTCTCACTCTGTCACCCAGGCTGGAGGGCAGTAGCATGCTTATGGCCACCACAGCCTCGACCTCCTGGGCTCAAGCGATTCTTCCACCTCAGCCTTCCAAGTAGCTGGAACTACAGGCATGTGCCACCACACCTGGCTAATTTTTTGATTTATTGTAGAGATGAGGTCTTGCCACGTTGCTCAGGCTGGTCTCAAATTCCTGACCTTAGGCAATCCTCTTGCCTCCACCTATTGTTTCTGATTTTTAAGTTGAAAATGTAATCCTTCCAAAGGCTGCAGGATTCATACTCATTCTGATCTTCCAACTTCCTCACTTTTTAAAAATTATAAGCAACTTCTTGGTATCTACGAAGACTGTATTTTCCCTGCTACATATTTTGCACACATTACACCATTCTATTACCCTTCAGTTGAGCAAAAATACTTGTTATTTGGAGAAAAAAATCTCAGTAGTAATTCATTGCTTCTTGTCCCCATAGAAAGGTTTGGTGTGGAAGATGATATTTGCACTATAGCCCATTTTGAAACAATTAATATTGCATTCTCCTCCTAATTCCACCCAGGTCACTGTGAGGCTACACCTTCCATAATTACTGAGGAATGTGAGAATGTAATATTCATCATAGTCTGGACATGACACATAGCCCTGCCCTATGTTGTGCACTCCATTGACATCCCAAGAAATTTTGATTTGGTCCAGATATGAGCATTGAATTGTATCTTCTTGTTATAACTCACAGCATAAAAGGCTGAAATGGATGGATGATGGAAAATCTGCTCAGCCACTAATGTTACACTATTTTTGGAAACCCAGGGAACTGGTCCTCTGTGCTCTCTTCAGTATCACTTAGTAATGTCCAACGACAATGGAAAAATTTCACCCAAAATGGGGTTGTATGGCTTTTTGGCAGCTGATCCTTTTCTTCCCGCATGAGAGGCTGAGAGGTACCATTTCACAGCATGAACCATTCGATCTCTGGGATCATTTTCGTCTCTGATGCTCACAAACAGGTCTGGTTGTGCAAAAAAGTCTGCATATATGTAGAAGAGATCTTCTTTCAAGCATAAATGTTGTAAGAACTACCTTAGTGAGATCTATCCCAAGCCTAACCTGCGACAGGAGGTGCATGATAATCCTCTTGCTCTCCTCTATCGACTCTACCTCTCTGTCATCATCTCTATCATCATGTAAGTCAAAAAAAAGGTCAGCATCATTTGTTCCATTGGACATGGAAGAATTCAGAGATTCTGTAGTATCTGGCAGTTTTAGATTATTTCCCTAGCTCCTTTAGATTATTTCCCTAGCTGCTGTGTGTCAAGACTGAGGCAGATCCAAATGAAACTATTAAGTGCTTTGGGGAGAAGCCATTTTGATAGAATTCATCAGCGTCATTGAATTCATTTTCACTGCTAAAATAAGAGAACTCTGGTACTGTATTTGGAGTCAAGTTGACATGGTGTGGAGAAGTTAGACTGTTACTCGGTGGTGAATGGCCACTGCTTGTATTATTATTATTTGAAGTTGGAGTCTGATGATATCCCAAAGTAGCCAATACAAGTCCAACTGGTAATGAAGATGGATGCTACTCTGACTTACACAAGTGAGACAGTTCTGAAGGTAAGACAGTCTGGGAAGGCATTGTGCTGATCACAAGTTTCAAAGGACTAGTTTGATATATTGCAGCTACAGGATTATTAATATGTATAATTCCATCTGTGAGTTTCTCCGCATTACTCTGGTCTTTAGCAATTTAAAGCAACACAATGTAGTGTTTGTCTCTATCATGCTATTTGTTGTTTCTCTGAGAGTTTCAATTTTCTTTCTCTGTTCATCTTCTTTGCAGTTTTGGTCTGTCATCAAAAAGTTTTAATTGTCCTGTCAAGATTTATAGGTAAGCATCAGCTTCTATACGTTTCTTATCAAAGTCTTGAACACTAGGAACAAATCCTGAATCCAAACCTTGAAGCAGGAGAGTATGTTGAAAAATTGTTTCTTCTAAGGCACGGATCCACTTCTCTTGCTCATCAACATCACAAACCTGGAAATGGAAGGTTTTCTGATCAAAAGTTACTGTGAAACTGCTGTCATTTGCATTGTCTGTGCCAATCACAACTTCTCTGAGTCTAATACATCCTCTGCGAGAGCCTCTCATCATTTTGTCCTTGGAGGTGTAGTAGGAAAGCAACCCTGCATTGTAGTCCAGTACGAACCGATAGTCACGTCAGTCCATTTGCCTGTGGCCCTTCCATGATGGATACCATCTTGGGACAGAATTTATTTATAAGAAATTGTGTATTTATTCTTACATGTTTAAATTTCAGTCATCTTTAAAGTACTCTCTGTTTCATGCAATACACCTATCAAGGCGCTTTTCCCCACTGCTCAGAACAGTTTTTGAACTTGTCAGTTTGGATGCCTTTTAGTGCTTCTGCCAGTTTTTGTTTGTTTGTTTCACCTCTTCCACATCGGCAAAATGTTTCCCTTTGAGAACTTTTTTCATCCTGTGAGTAGGGAGGGTGGGGCATGGGGATCATGCCATTTTTGGTCAAAAACTGCTGAAAACTCTGCGGTGTGGGCAGATGTGCTCATAAATCATCCATCATGAGATGGGCAAATGCGTTCAAAGAATCTTCAAAAAAAAAAGAAAAATCCACTGATGCCAAATGAAGCCTCTCACAACAACACTAGCTGGTATACTAATGCCAATGAGTTTCTAGAACACTTACCTAGTGGGGGAAGCCTGTACTACTGGAAAACAGTGTGGTGATTTCTAAAAGATCTAAATAAGCTGGGCTTGGTGGCTCAGTTTGTAATCCCACACCTTTGGGAGGCTGAGGTGAGTGGATTGCCTGAGCCCGTGGGTTCGAGACCCGCCTGGGCAGCGAGACCTCATCTCTACAATAAATAAAAAAATCAGCCGGGCGTGGTAGTGCACACCTGTAATTCCGGCTACATGGAAGGCTGAAGTGGAAGGATCGCCAGAGCCCAGCAGGTCGAGGCTGCGGTGGCCGGGAGCGGCCATTGCACTCCAGTCTGGGCGACCGAGTGAGACTCCAACTCAAAAAATAAATAAATAAATAAATAAATAAATAAATAAATAAATAAATAAATAAATAAAAGATCTAAATATTGACCTACCATATGATCCAGCAATCCCCCTTCTGGGACTATATCCAGAGGAACTCAAATCATTCTGAAAAAAAAAAAAAAAAGATACCTGCTCACACATATTTATTGCAGCACTATTCACAATAGTAAAAACATGGAAAAAACTCTGCTGCCTATCAATAGTGAACTTGATTTTTAAAATGTGGTATATATACACAATGGAATACTATGCATCACAAAAAGTACAAAATTATGGACTTTGCAGAAACTTGGATGTATTTAGAGTCATGATACTCAATGATCTATCACAGAAACAAAGAACTGAGTACCACATGTTCTCACTCATAAGTGTACCCTGAACATTTATCGCAATTCTACATGAAAGAGATTGGCAGTAGTGGGTCACTGCCAGGAGAGGGAGGGGGGCACGTAACATTAATAAGGGTACCTGATCCCAAACCAGGTGAAGTGAGGACTCATGGGAAGCCCAAACGTCACCTGTACAATGACCACTTATGTACCTAATCATGAATTGTACCTCACATCTTTAAAATTAAAAAAAAAGAATAGAAAATCTGGGGGGAGGTGAAGGTGAAGGAATGTATTTTACCAATTGGTTATTTCCTAGTCTCAATCTTAGAAACTCTTAGATCCATGGATCTTACGTTTGTTTTGGCCACAGGTCACCTTAGAAGACTGATGAAAGCAATGACCACTCTCTGAAATTCACATTAACAAGAAATTAGATCTACAATTTCAGGGCCTTCAAAGACCATCTGAATCCCAGCCATGATGAGCAGATACTTGTAGAGGATTTGATCACAGTGGTTACTTCCTATTTTTTTTTTTTTTTGCGTTGGAGTCTCACTGTCGCCCAGACTGGAGTGCAGTGGCCATTCCCGGCCACCGCAGTCCCGACCTGCCGGGCTCCGGCGATCCTTCGCCTCAGCCTTCCGAGTAACCGGGATTACAGGCATGCGCTACCACGCCTGGCTGATTTTTCGATTTATTGTAGAGATGAGGTCTCACCAAGTTGCCCAGGCGGATCTCGAACCCGCGGGCTCAGGCAATCCACTCACCTCAGCCTCCCAAGGTGAGGGATTACAGGCTGAGCCACCGAGCCCGGCTACTTCCTAGTCTTAAGCAGACATACTTTCCAATAATTACGGGAAGAATTTGAACATTGCAGGTTACTTCCTTGTCTCAAAAAAAAAAAAAAAATGGGTAATTGTTGTGTCTGGAGTGGGGGGTGGAGGGATTTTTTCATGGCAGGTTTCTTTCTAGGGTCATTCACACTTCCTAGGCTTCCTGAATAATCCATGGGGATGTTATCACATTAGACAGCTACCTAAAGTTTCCTGCTACTGTATCTCTTGGGCACAGGATGCATTGTTCCACACTGTCAAAAATAGTTGCAAGCTTCATGTCTGGCTATGACATTGGAAACAAAAACTGCTTATAATGGCTTCTACTTAGCTTTTAAGATTACAGCTGAGTTAACTCACAGTTATTTTTGCCAAGAGTAGCAGAGTAAGCTTGTCAACAAAGTATTATACTTGCCTTTCCTCACTTGCTATGGTTAGGTCCCTGAAAACCGTCAGGATAAGAGATTTTACAGTTGACACTCTTAAAACGTTATGGATAAAGTAGAATCAGGGTCCAATGATCAGATCATCAGTCTATAAAAGCTTTTAAAAATGTCTCTTGGATTTAACTAAAATAAAATATTAAAGACTGCACACCAAATAAAAAGAATGACAATATTTCATATACTTTTAAAATTAGAAATGGTCATATATATGTAGTTCTGTACAATTTTCATCTACTATCCTTTAATCATTAGAGTATTTTCAGGAATACTTTCTTCCTGTTTTATCTTCATTAGTGCTATTTATTTTAAAAGTAAAACTCTTGTAATATCTTAATTGTATAGAAGTGTTATAATGTAAAAAGCAAAAGTCTCAAATCTCACACCCCACTCGGAGATAACCACTATTAATAGAAAGACATTTGGACTTTCTACTTTGGCTTTCTTGGGAGTGAGGGGTCATTTGTCAGGCTAATGGTTTTCACAGCTACTGTTATTTAGAGGCTGTTAGATTTTCAGTCCCCCATGAAGCTGGGGAGAATGAGATAGGAATAGTCTAAGTTAAAAAGTTGTAAGCCCAGCTATTCTTATCCTGAGCTTCAGCAGTTTTTGTTTTTATTTTTGTTTAATAAACATTCCTCAGATTTTTGCAAGCCTTAGGTTAATTTCCAGAGTTCTAAAAAAGCTGATTTTGATAATTTATTCCAGTGTTTTTGTTGCTTTTAAGGAGGAATAAGTTTATGGAGAGTCTCACTCTGCTATCCCAATTTCCCACCATTATTCAAGTCCTTTATATGTCTCTCTTCTTGAAAAATACATTTTCTGTCTGTCATCTTCTACCAAATTCTGGTCCTTCTGCTATGAAAAGGAAGGGAAAGATTGTGAAATTGAGTTGTGAGAAAGCCATGGCTTTGGAGTGAGACTGACCCAGATGTGGATCCTTTCTCCATCAATCACTAGAATTGTGGTCATGGGCTGGTAGGCAATCTTCTTAAACCTCCAGCTCCTCATCTGTAAATAGTGGTAATAATACTTGCCACACCCTGTGAAGATCAAAATATATCATGAAGGGCACGTTTTTGGTATAGAGTCTGGCAGATATCAAGTGTCTAACAAATTGTTTGTCTCTTAATAGCATGCATCTAGCATCTTTGGGGACTAAGTTGTAATTACATGTCAGTGTCAGCTTTCAACACCCAAACTTTTAATACTTCTTTCATAGGAATTTAGAGAATTACATATGATTTCTACTTCTTAAATTACCTTAAAAATGTTTTGTTTTCATAGTAACTGAAGATTATCCTTATAAGAATTTTTCATACTTATACCATTACTAATTTATACTATGTGACATATATTCATTATTATCAATTATTACTTTTTCATTAATTTCAACATACTATGCTTTTAGAGTTATGAATATGATGATCACAGTTCATTTCTTCACTATATACTCCCAGCCTAAGGTGGTTTTTTTTTCCAGGCTGGAGTGCAGTGGCACACTCACAGCTACTGCAAACTCGACCTGCCAGGTTCAGATGATCCTTCTGCCTCAGCCTTCCCAGTAGCTGGGGCTACAGGTGTTCATTACCATACCTGGCTATTTTTTTTTATTGTAGAGACAAGGTCTCACCATGTTGTTCAGGTTGGTCTTGAACTTCTGGGCTCAGGCAGTTCTCTTGCCTTCGCCTTCCAAAGTCCTAGGATTATAGGCATGAGCCACTGCGCCCAGCAGGCTAAGGTGTTTTTTTGTTGTAGTTTGTTTTTTTGAGTTGGAGAGTCACTCTGTTGTACAGGCTAGAGTACAGTGGTATGCTCTAAGCCACCACAGCCTCGACCTGCTGGGCTCAGGTGATCCTTCCACCTCAGCCTTCCAAGTAGCTGGAACTACAGGCGCGCACTACCATGCCTGGCTAATTTTTTAATTTATTGTAGAGATGAGATCTTTTCATGTTGCCCAGGCTGCTCTCTAACCCCCGGACTTAGGCAGCCCTCTTGCCCTGGCCTCCCAAAGTGCTGGGATTACAGGCTTGAGCCACTGTGCCCAGCCAGCCTAAGGTTTTGATGGCTTTTCTACTTGCTTCATTATAGCTTAATCACCTTACCCCTGTCAGCTTCCATCTGCTGTGAATCCCTGTTATTATTTTACCTACACTTGTTCTGGGAAGTATGTAGATTTCAATGTCCATATTCTTTCCTTGTCCCACTATGGGTGTTTGCTCGACACAAACAACTAGCTCATTTCCTGAGTTTGCTTAGCACGTGCTTCTTTATCTGCCTTTGTGATCATATCTACAACCTGGCCAAGTTGTAGGCATTGCAAACACTAACATTAGAAGGCTAAAGAGGTTTGAACTTTGTCCTGAAGACAGTAGGTAAGATGAGGATATGATCATGGAGGGAAGAAGGATTGAAAGAGAAAGACAAGGTTAGATTGTGTGAAGAATATTTCACTGTGTCAGCAGTGAAGGATGGATTGGGTTGGTGAGATCCATGAGTGAAAAATAGGGAGAACAAGCAGTATGAGGGTTGAAACTAGCTCTCAAAAGGTCTTTGAATTCCAACT